AGAGCTCTCAAATTGAATTCTTACTAGTAAGAATGTAATTATAGAGCTCTCTAACTGAATTGGAGAGCTCTGCAATTACATTCTTACTAGTAAGAATTCAATTTGAGAGCTCTGCAGTTCAATCCTTACTAGTAAGAATTCCAATTAGAGAGCTCTCTAATTTAATTGTTACAAGTAACAACTGAATTAGATAGCTCTTTAATTCAATTAGAGAGCTCTCTAATTCAGTTTTTACTAGTAAGAATTCCAATTAAAGAGCTCTCTAATTCAGTTTTTACTAGTAAGAATTCCATTTATAGAGCTCTCTAATTCAATTGTTACTAGTAAGAACTGAATTAGAGTGCTCTTTAATTCAGTTACAGAGCTCTGCAATTAAACATATCTTTAATGTGTTTTTTTACTAGTAAAAATTTAATTATAGAGCTCTGTAATTGTATTTTTACTAGTAATAATTAAATTAGAGAGCTCTCTAATCGGAATTGTTACTAGTAAAAATGTATTTAGAGAGCTCTCTAATTGGAATTATTACTAGTAAAAATTGATTTAGACAGCTGAGGTAGAGCTCTGTAATTATAAATGAATGGAAGTCAATGGAGACATATGACTAGTAAAAATTGATTTGTAGAGCTCTTTAATTGGAATTGTTACTAGTAAGAATTGAATTAGAGAGCTCTGTAATTGTAATTCTTACTAGTAATAACTGAATTAGAGAGCTCTCTAATTATATTTGTTACTAGTAAGAATTGATTTAGAGAGCTCTCTAACTGGCATTGTTACTAGTAAGAATTTAATTTTAGAGCTCTCTAATTGAATAGTTACTAGTAAAAATGCAATTACGACGAGTAACACTGGGATTATTATAAGCTAAAACGGCTTGCCATAAAAATGCAATTACGACGAGTAATGCTGTGGATATTTTAAGCTAAAACGGCTTGCCATAGTAGAGCGCTCTAATTGAATTGTTACTAGTAAAAATGCAATTACGACGAGTGGGGATATTTTAAGCTAAAACGGCTTGCCATAGTACCCTGCGATTTCATGTAACCTACCATGTAGACAGGGGCGGAGCCAGTCTTTGTCCCTTTTTTCTTGGCAAGAATTGCATTTATTAAGATGCGGAACCGCGTATCTCTTTATGACCACATCAAACGGGAGAATTTTCAGACGCGCACTTCAGCTTCACCTCAGCGTCAGGCGCGAGTCTAACGAGCGCGAAAAGCTACAGCAGCCAAATGGCCTTCAGTAGAACAACTGTGAACTGCGGTCTGATGAGATGTTGTTAGACTATGTCAGTAAAACTCACTTTCCTGTCCCGTCAGCCGTTTTACGGTGCTCACGGCGCACACTCTTCAACGGTACGCAAATATGTGGCGCACGATCTATACACTTCATCATAAATAACCAGCACAAGAAACTATGAGCATACATACCTAGTTCTGTCGTCAGCTAAGTCATGAAATTACCAAAAAGGCGATTAAAGCTGCAAACTGTTCATGTATACGCAGCACACAAGAACGTCTCTCGAATGCATGTGTTACTAAAATATATTCTGCAATTCCAGATCACAATATAAGGCACAAGCTGCATATGTATTTTTTATTTGTAATTTAATGCACAAATCAATTTGAGCACAGTGCACTTATACTAGAAAATATGCGAAAATGAAACTATTTAAATGCATAAAATAATTTTATGTCTATGTTGACTTCCGGCCTTTTTCACTATCTGCATGCCTCATCCATGAGTATTCAATGTTGGAGAGCAAGCATTTGTGAGTTTTGAGAAGCTGAATGAGCAATAAAGCTATAGTGAGCCCCTTTATTAAAATACCTGGAGGTGAGGAATAATACAAAAATTGTCATATTCACACAGTATTACTTGATCTAATTCACAAATATCTCAATTACAGTTAAGTAGAAATTAATTGTACGCAGTTGTGTTTTAGGCACTAAAACAGTCCAGTATATTATAGTGAAACACATTTTCATATTGAAATTAGTGATGGGTCGTTCTTGAACGATTCTTTAATGTGACTCGGGAAGAACGAGTCGTCTCGGGGAGTGATTCGTTCAGTCGCGCATGCGCAACATCCTATAGGTTCTGTACTTGATTTAGTCGAGTAGGTCACCTGTTTCGAGTCTCGGGTTGCATAAAATAATAGTCTTAAAAGTCAATTTGTTTTCTTTAAGACTGGTCAAATTTGTCAAAATTCGGTTAGTCTAAATTGAATCCAAAATACAAGACCGATTACCCCTTGGTTAACTGCTAGTTGGTCAAACTAATTCTTAAGACAGTGTCAGAGCTAAGTTTATGCAACTGACCCCAGGTAGGCAAAAAAAAAAAAAACCGTGAGGAGAGTTGGGATAATACAATCAACAGTCCCAGCATTCCGACGGGATTATATTTCTCAGAGGACCCATTGAGTTTGCCGAAAAACACAAAAGGTTTTGTGAGAAAAACAGATTTGGCAGATTCGCATGGAAACTAACCGCAAGGTAGTCTACATATGTGAAACACAAATTTATCCTCCTGGAAAACTACTCCCATCCGAATAGTTCTTTAGTCACAGCCAGTGTAATATTTTGTTTGACTTGTTAGCTGAGGCAACAAGTATTAAACCCTTAACCCTTGTTTTGTTTACAACAGTAACATTGAACCACAATGTATTCAAAAGGCACATCCAGTAATTTTTAGCCACATAAAAAAATTTGTACACATAAAGGAATAGGAGACCAGGGATGGCTGTAACATGTTTTGCTTTAACATATGCTCAATTTAATAACTCATATCTTTCTGTAATTTAACAATTATATTTTACAAAATGTCCAAACTTTTTAGCATATAGAAGCAAAGAAATATACTACAATAGAGCATCATGCAATCATGCATTAGCACTCAAACAAAAAACATTAGTGTTAAGAGCCTCAAAAGAAAATTTTCCACCAGCAGTGATTTATAGGAAGTCGTACTCCACTCGACCAGCATCATCCAGATAGTCATCTGCGAAGTTGAGCATGTGCTGTAGAGCGGTGAGCAGCAGGACGTCACAGTTGAGCTCCAGCTCCAGCTCCTGACTGTAGTTCTTCACCGGTAACACACAAGACACCGGCACACCCAACCGAGAGCTCACCTCCTGCACCTGCAGACACAAAACAACACCTCACTCACTCCGAGTCCTGTAGCAACAGACCATCTGATCATGTGACCGCGTCTCACCTTCAACTTGATGTAGGAACTGACATAAAGACTTTGAAGATTTTCCTCCACTCGAGGACATGCTTCATCTACTTTTGTCATCAAGACAATCTGAGGAATGCCTACCAGATTGTATACCAATACGCAACATTTTACATTCTTTTAGCAGATAGCTTTATCCAAAGCAACTTACAAATTGAAATGTTATTTCTCAGATTATAGATCAGTTGTAGTATAATGTTAGTTTACTTAGCAAGTTTACTCTTCGGCGTATGGAAGCAAGTTTTTCCTCTAGTTTGTCAGACATGAGGGAGATTCTGGTGGAGTCTATCACATACACCACACAGTGGATCTTCTCCTGAAGAGATGCAGGTCTGGAGGCCTTTCGCTCATTGTGTTGAAACGGTGCAATGGGGTTGAACTTAAATTTAGAGAAATGTCAAGAAGAACAGCTATTCATCAAACTAATCATCATACTCCAAGCCATTTTGGAGATACGTGAACCATCTTAATGCTCTTACTTTATAGCGGTCTGATATGTGACCTTGAAGAATGCTGCTGATGTCCTCAATATCAAGTCCTGCACCTGATTGCTCCTCGAGTCCCATGGTGTCACACAACACAAATGGCAACGGCCTTCCCTCATGATGGTCAACAACTGGGTATGTGCGAAACTAAAAGAATAATTGTTACAAACAAAGACAGGTCTTGACATCCCAGAGAAAAACGGTGTTGTCCTTTTAAATCTCTACCTGTGTGGTGAGACTAGTGCCTGCAGATCCTGACATGGCTTTGCTGGTAATGCGGCCCATGAAGATGGAGTTGATGGAGTTGAAGAAACTGGATTTTCCAGCACCTACAGGACCGATCATTAGGATTCTGACCCGACTCACAGACGTCATCAGGGGTTTATAGTTCCTGATCAATCCCATGAGCTGTGCTCTTCGACTACGACAGAGCACAACAATTGTGTGAGACCATCCTATGAAATCAGCAATAGTGGACTAGGAAAACACTATTTAAGTTGAAACATACTTGGCTGTCCACAGAACATTCCTCCATTGCTTGTTTATGGCACTGCTCTGAGGGACTGGCAATCAAAATGAATATGAATACAACATATATTAGATTATATAATCACGTGAATCCTTTTCTGAAGACTTGACTTACTCTGCTTCACTTTGTACACCTCACATTCAGTCAGCTGAGTATCGTTCCCATACATTGTTGCCGTATTAACACTGAATGCATTCCCTCTGTGATTTAACACAACTGGCTGGTTCTTGTAGCAAAAGTACAGCTGTTGACCAAAGTTGGGCCCTCCAGCGTCATCGAGACGTGCATAATGTCCACTGTTAACTTTGATGCACACAGGGATCTTGCCTTGAAAGCTGAACAGGAAAGCTTCCCTATCTATAATATGCTGCCCACTTCGAGCATAATCTACACTAGTGTATCCACCAAAGATGTAGCCTGATCGGTTGTAGGCTACAAGTAAAGTGGGACCCTGACGGTCACATCGCTGGTGGAAGACAGAAGCTTGATATCCATGAACTGAAGCTTTGTAGAGAAGAGACAGTTTCACATTCCCCAGCAAAGCACGGAGCCGCTTACTTTTCTCGTCTGGTAATTTGCAAGTGATGGGAGCAACCATGGACACTTGCGATCCCAATCCAAAAGACTGATGGTTGTAGGCTACAAGTAAAGTGGGACCCTGACGGTCACATCGCTGGTGGAAGACAGAAGCTTGATATCCATGAACTGAAGCTTTGTAGAGAAGAGACAGTTTCACATTCCCCAGCAAAGCACGGAGCCGCTTACTTTTCTCGTCTGGTAATTTGCAAGTGATGGGAGCAACCATGGACACTTGCGATCCCAATCCAAAAGACTGATACATCTTTAAATGATAAAAATCAAATTATTTATTACATTGTGCCGACACCGGTGTGAATATGGAAATCATTACGTTTTCACTTCCCGATGCCATCGTAAAATGCTCTTGGCTCAGTTAACCATGCTAAATGTATTGCATAAAAAAGTGTCAAATAACAAGTTATAAGAAGCATATAGTAAAGAGTGATATCAACATGGCGGTGCGCGCGAGGCGGCCCGCTCGATGCAAATATATATATAAAACAGCTTTTATTAGGCCACATATGACTGGTATGAGTTTGCCATCTCATATTGTAAAATATACGTTATTATTTCAAAGTTAATTTATTTGTGCAAAACGGCTAATTAGGTTAAAGTCACCCAGTGAGCGATGAAAGAAGTTTGACGTTTGAAATTGATAGCATTGCGTGTAACTTAAACACGTTCTTACATGATGGTCAACCACTTAGGCCTACGTTAAAAAAAAAAGAAATACTTTTATATTTCTGTAATATTTATGTCGACTCTGTATCTTACCTTTCACAATCCCGTTTCTCTGTCAAAGAAATAATGAATAGTGTTGGGTCGTTCTTGAACGATTCGTTCGTTTTGAACGATTCTTTAATGTGACTCGGGAAGAACGAGTCGTCTCGGGGAGTGATTCGTTCAGTCGCGCATGCGCAACATCCTCTAGGTTCTGTACTGGATTTAGTCGAGTAGTTCGGGTCGAGTAGTTCGAGTCTTCGGGTTTTCCGAGTCGATCGTTCATCACGTGACAGCCCCATAAGCCCAAACCCGAAGACTTGTCAGATAAGAGGTGAGGTGAGCTAATCATAGACTGAAGACCTAGGTAAACAATGAATTAATATTTTGTGTTTCTTATAGCTTTAAAGTTTTGTATTGTGTGTAGTGTGAGCAACGTTTATGTAAGTAGTAGACATGTTAGGGAAGTAACACGTAACATTTTAATTATATTTTGTTAAAATGAACGAAATAACTCGAAAAAAGATTCGTTCATTTTGCTGAACGAGACTCAAAGGTCCGAGTCGGTAAAATGATCCGAACTTCCCATCACTAATAATGAATGCCCCCGTCTCGTCTGTAAGGAAGGTGGACCGTGGCCACCTAGTAGCTGCGTCCGAAATCTGAAAAAGATTAAGGCAAATCTAAATCCAATTTTTGCTTCACTTCCTGTCTCAAACACTGCCTAATAAGCCAGCGATGAATCAAGTCAGCTGCCAAAATTTCGGCGGCAGCCAGTGAGAAAGTAATAGGATTACAGTTACAGTATTTACTACATTTGTCAATGTATTTTTTTTCCAGCTTAATTATTTCGTTCTATGATGGGTTTCTGTAAAGTGTAAAAATAAATAAGCAATGTCATGGCCTATTTATACATTGTTTTGTTATTTAAAAAAGTGTAGTCTTAGAAATGTGTATAATCAATTGTTAATTTTTAATTTTAATCTTCCAGTTTTGAAAGAAACTTTCACACTTAGAAAAAAAAAGTCCATTCAGCAAAATAAGTTTTTTTTTTTTTTTTTTAAATAATGCTTATGCATATTGAATTCTCCATGTTTTATTTTTCTATTAATTCGCAGTCCTAACACATCATTCTAATATTACTATAACCTATAAACCTGATCATGGAACACCATAAACAAACAACCAACTAACAAAAGCATGAAAATGATGTAAGTACCGTAATTGCATTTTTCTTAAATGGATTTTTATGACTGTAGAAGAACTAGAACAGGCAAACAGAAAAAAATAATCTTCTAACTTAAGATGTCTTATTGCGCTGATCAAGAGGTAAATATCCCGATCTACAGTATAATACACATCACTTTATTTGGGTTAATCCTCCATGGGACAGACATCATCCAGATAGTCGTCTGCGAAGTTAAGCATCTGCTGTAGAGCGGTGAGCAGCAGGACGTCACAGTTGAGCTCCAGCTCCAGCTCCAGCTCCTGACTGTAGTTCTTCACCGGTAACACACAAGACACCGGCACACCCAACCGAGAGCTCACCTCCTGCACCTGCAGACACAAAACAACACCTCACTCACTCCGAGTCCTGTAGCAACAGACCATCTGATCATGTGACCGCGTCTCACCTTCGACTTGATGTAGGAACTGACATAAAGACTTTGAAGATTTTCCTCCACTCGAGGACATGCTTCATCTACTTTTGTCATCAAGACGATCTGAGCGATGCCTGAAATTGTTGAGGTACGTTTTAAGGTGCGTCACATGTAGCTCTATGTACAACCTACTTTGTATTAGTCACAAGATTGGTGTAAATATGTTCACTCACCCATTGAGTTCACTTTTTTGCGTATGGAAGCAAGTTTTTCCTGTAGTTTGTCAGACATGAGGGAGATTTTGGTGGCGTCTATCACATACACCACACAGTGGATCTTCTCCTGAAGAGATGCAGGTCTGGAGGCCTTTTGCTCATCAGGTTGAAACGGTGCCATGGGGTTGAACTGAATCAGGATATTTTAATGTAAAGTGCATTGAAAAACTTGAATCTAAATCTTGGTCATAAGCATATGTATAAGGCGATATCTACATTAATCTGGATACATGTAAAACCACATCATTTTCTATACATTTTGGAACGATGTTTTCTTGTTGTAATGTGGACTGTGAAAACAGAGGTATTTGAAAATGATGATGCATGTTTAGTCATGTGATGCATATTGTGCCAATAGATATTGATGTTTGTGCCTGCTATGTGCTATTCACTTTCACAGTGTTGCTAAAGATAAATGTTACTGTACAATCTTCATATCACATTCCTGCAAAGATGATTGAAAACGTATTTGCAATTGCTGTCCTGTAGCAAAACATCAGGGCCTTTTAGTCCAGTAGTGTAATCTAAACTCACCAGTAAGTGGTGAGATATTTTGCTAGTAAAATTATCGTGTCAGAAGAAAAAATTCGAATTTCGAATATTCGTTGAATAAAAAAAAAATCCACATTCGAATGCAAAAACGTTGCATTGGAATTTAAGGTCTGCGTCAGCCGCCAGGCAGCCTTATCAGTGGCACACGAGATGCGATGACGATGTATGTGTCATTGATTGCAATTTAATGTTTTTGTTAGCCTATCCAGTTGAAGCCACTAGATGCGGCGCTGCTACGTTGTTCGTTCAATATATTGCGGAAAACGAGAGCATCAGTGTGGAGAAGATGTTGTTTATGGCGAAATTGAAACCAAGCCGTTCACACAGAACACATATTTATCACATTTTTCTAGAGGGACATCTATCAGCATTGCACTCGCGTCTCACAGAGAGCGGCATGTTTAGAAAGCCATGTAAAATTAATGTAAGTTCAACTTTTAAAAAAACATGTCTCAAGACTTTATGGCGGTTTTCCCTCATCCCACTGTATCTCATATTTTTAAATGAAGAAGTAGCCTACTCTTTGAATTTTTCTAGAGGGACATCTATCAGCGTTGCACTCGCGTCTCACAGAGAGCGGCATGTTTAGAAAGCCATGTAAAATTAATGTAAGTTCAACTTTTAAAAAAACATGTCTCAAGACTTTATGGCGGTTTTCCCTCATCCCACTGTATCTCATGTTTTTAAATGAAGAAGTAGCCTACTCTTTGTGATTGGTTTTCGGTCCTTTGTATTAAACTATACATACATGCATGGTGCTGTTTTTTTTCTAATTGTTTAAGCAACTTTATTAATTATATATTTTTTTTAAACATTATGCACTTTTTTTCAAAGATAGTTGTGTTATTTTATTATGCTTTGAAGAAACGTGCATAATATTTTGCTCAATGCGCCCTCTTGTGGCCTCAGGAGAGAAGCCAAAAGCTTTTTTCCCCCCTAACTGAAATGATGCCTTTTAGATTTGAATATAATTCGAATTTTGATAACATTTAAGTAGAAAATTCGAATTTTGATAACATTTAAGTAGAAAATTCGAATTTAGTTTTTCAGTCATTTTGACAACCCTAGTCAGAAGAATAGCAAATTGTATTAAAGTTACTGTATGTCTGGAATCTCAGTATCATCTCAGTGAGCTTTTATTATGTTTTACACATGCACAATAAGATGATTTTAACATTTTCTGTTTCAGTGTGAATAAGAAACCCTTGTGTTTTTAAACAGAAAAGCCATTTTCAAATGTATTTATGTAGATGTACCCTAAGTAGCTTACTTTATAGCGGTCTGATATGTGACCTTGAAGAATGCTGCTGATGTCCTCAATATCAAGTCCTGCACCTGATTGCTCCTCGAGTCCCATGGTGTCACACAACACAAATGGCAACGGCTTTCCTCCACGACCGTCTTTCACTGGATATGTGCGAAACTACCAACCAAGAAGAGAATCACATCAAGATCTGAAGTCCTCAAGAGACGTTGCTTAAACTCTTAGAGGAAACACTATGAAAGCTGTTAAATCTCTACCTGTGTGGTGAGACTAGTGCCTGCAGATCCTGACATGGCTTTGCTAGTCATTCGACCCATGAAGATGGAGTTGATGGAGTTGAAGAAACTGGATTTTCCAACACCTACAGGACCGATCATTAGGATTCGAAATCGGCTGACAGACATCACCAGGGGTTTCTGATTCCTGATCTTTTCCATGAGCTCTGCTCTTTGACTACAAAATGAATCACAACTTTAATTTAGCAGATTATTGCATAAAATCTGCAACACTTTGATAAGAACATTTAGTGGAAACATACTCAGCTGTCCACAGAACATTCCTCCATGGTTTCTCCATGACCTGAAGGACTGGGAAATATTGAATAAAGATTATTATAGAACATAATTTCAGTAATGTTAACAACATTACATTTTAACTCTATAAGACCTACTGTATCATATTTTGATATTAAAATTTCTAAGGCCCCCAAAACTATCAAGAAGCGAGCAGGACTACACAATCTACTACATGCTTTTGTTGTCTGATACATATTTTATACTTTTTGGAAGAAGTATAATTACAAAAACCTCACCATTCACGTTGTGGTATATATATATAGATATAGATATAGATAGATAGATTCCTTGTTATCTCTCTCTCTATATAAACATTTGCAAAACGTTTTCTAGATAGTTTTTCTATTATTTCATATGTTACACTTTACAGGGTTAAGAGACTCAAAATTACTGCATGTGTGTAAAACATACAGTGAGTGATAAACATTTTTCTGACAATTGACTTACTGTGTTTGACTTTGTACACCTCACATTCAATCAGCTCAGTGATGTCCCCATACAGTGCATCAGAATCAAAACTGAATGCATTCCCTCCTTGATTATAAATAACTGGTTGGTTGTTGTAGCAAAAGTACAGCTGTTGACCAAAGTTGGGCCCTCCAGCGTCATCAAGACGTGCATGAGATCCACTGTTAACTTTGATGCAGAGCGGCACTTCATCTTGAACACTGAACAGGAAAGCCTCTTTATCAGTAATATACTGCCCGCTTTGAGCATAATCTACACTAGTGTATCCACCAAAGACGTAGTCTGAATGGTTGTAGGCTACAAGTAAAGTGGGACCCTGACGGTCACATCGCTGGTGGAAGGCTGAAGCTTGATATCCATGAACTGAAGCTTTGTAGAGAAGAGCCAGTTCCACATTCCCCAGTAAGCCACAGAGCTGGTTTCTTTCCTCTTCTGTTAATGTAGAATTGAGTGAATCCATGCTGAGCTTTCCCAATGTTTTTTTATTCATCTTTAACAAAAAAGACAAAAAGACATGTATTACATAAGACAATAATATAAAGAAATAACATCCTTTTTAAAAATCCTGAATGTCTTATTAATAAATGAAAATAAAAGATTAATAAATAGAGGAGAGTGGGGTAAGATGAGACATCTGTGGTCCTCAAGATAAGGGAAAATGAGGCAGAAGTACAATGAAAGTATAAGGTAATTTCAGGATGTTTCCTATCATTTTAAATTACCAGAATGTATCTATGAAAAAGGGTTCTAAAAATATGGCTTCTTATTAAAAAAGTGTTCCCGTGGCTCAATTTGCCCCAGGTTAGGGGTAAATTGACCTAAAATGCACCATATGTGTGTAATCTGTCCATCTGACTGAATCTAATTCAAACCCAAGTGAAATTTTAAAGATAATTTACCTCTTTTAAAAACAAATTTCATATTTTAAATTTCATATTTCTTTTCTTAAAGCTAACTTTAAAAACATAAAACCAACCAAATAAAGTTTAAATTTCAGTCTTTAATTGTTTGAGATTAGATTATTGGCATGGCAGCTTTTCTGCAATGTCGTCGAACAGGCCATTAGGGACTACAGGTGGAAAGATATATGATTATAATGTGATGAAAAGCATCTTCTGCTTCTTATCAGAGAAGGATTTGGTGTACTTTTACACTGACCTTATCAAATAAACTTAAAATAATATGTATATGATAAACTAAACCAGTTGCGTAATATCACATTAAATGGGTCATATGATGCGATTTCAAGTTTTCCTTTCTCTTTGGAGTGTTTATACTTCAGAGCCTTATGGTGGGGTAAGGTAAAATGCTGGCTCAATTTACCCCACAGTATTTGGCTCACTTTGCCCCATGCCATTTTGAAAAAACTAGCAAGCACCAATTCAGACAAATATTAAGAAGGCCTAGTCCCAGACTAAAATGTTTCAACTGAAAGAAACTTGCACTGACTGATCTTAAAATATATCAGTGCCTTTGTTTAGTCTCAGTCAAGATGAGGTGATGAGATGAGTCAACAAGGCATGTTAATAAAAATTACTTCAATGTCCAAATTGGACTATGGCCTAATCCTGGCTTAGTCTAAGCCCTGTCTGTGAAACCTGCAGGCCACATTGTCCTAAAATGTTACTTTGACAAGCCAAAAATATAAATGGATGCCTTCTACTCCTCCCATGTGTTTCTGCTTTTCACCCCACAGCATTTGGCTCACTTTGCCCCATGCCATTTTGAAAAAACTAGCAAGCACCAATTCAGACAAATGTTAAGAAGGCCTAGTCCCAGACTAAAATGTTTCAACTGAAAGAAACTTGCACTGACTGATCTTAAAATATATCAGTGCCTTTGTTTAGTCTCAGTCAAGATGAGGTGATGAGATGAGTCAACAAGGCATGTTAATAAAAATTACTTCAATGTCCAAATTGGACTATGGCCTAATCCTGGCTTAGTCTAAGCCCTGTCTGTGAAACCTGCAGGCCACATTGTCCTAAAATGTTACTTTGACAAGCCAAAAATATAAATGGATGCCTTCTACTCCTCCCATGTGTTTCTGCTTTTCACAGTCAGGCAGAAATTAGGAGTGGTTCCAAAAATGCATCACGTCAGGCGAACGTAAACTTCAACTTACCCACTGGCTTAATTTACCCCGTGCTTCCCCTACTGTAAAATATTATTTTAGTTTAAAATAATGTCAGTATTTATATTCTTATAGTCCGTTTAGCCGGAGATGAAACTGAAAAGTGCCAAGTAACAAATAATAATGAATAAAATAAAGTACTGAATTGTGTTCTTTTTGGTTTTTCATCACTGTAACGCAATAACCGTTTGTTAAAATGTAACGTTAAAGCTTTATCTCACACGTTGCTTCCTCGTTTGAAATCGATAATATTAAGATTAAATTGTTTGCTTCTGCTTTCTAAATGTATCATATTTGCATTATAAAATATTTAATACCACATCTATATCGTTTAAGAAGCTTACTTTGGTAGCGTGAAACAATGACAGACTACACTCCAGCAGTCTCCTGCATCTGCAAATAAACCGTGTGTCGACGGTTCTACATGTGCGGCGCCATTTCAGCACCCTTTTTCCAGCTCATGTGATTCTGTAAAGTTAGTAAGTAGCCTATAAAAATATACGATTCTGGCATTCAGGCAAATAAACAACGACATGACTTTAAATGCTATTACTCGGTAGTTCCAAAGAATGTGCTTTTCTTGTGTCACAATTTTTTTTAATGATTTAGGAGTTTTAAATTAGGTTATTAAATATATTTTCTATGTAAAAGTAATAAAGATAATTGTTTAGTCATAGAAATGTGTTTAATAAATTGTTAATTTTTATCTTAATCTTGCAGTTTTGAAAGAAACTTGAGGCACAGAATCAAAAATTGTCATTGTTTTTTTTTATAAGTGCTTTTTAATGCCTAGTTAGTTCATTCTAGTGACTTTAATACTAATCATGGCACAGGAATGTAACAAACAAATACAACAGCAACTGCATGAGTAATGTAAACAGTTGACATTAAATTAGTAATTATTGAAAGGAGCTGAAGTTTATAGCATTTTTATTGTACATAACTATATTTTTCTAATGAATGACTTTGCTCCACATTGTACAACTAACAATCACTCAGCCGAGTGTAATTCTTATATAGTGTTGCAGCAATAAAATTGAATGCATTATACTGATGTACATTTTGCACAAGTGGTTGGTTGTTGTAGCAGAAGCACAACTGTAGGCCAAAGTTGGGCCCTCCAGCATCATCCACTGTTAACTTTGCAAATGTTAAGAAGGCCTAGTCCCAGACTAAAATGTTTCAACTGAAAGAAACTTGCACTGACTGATCTTAAAATATATCAGTGCCTTTGTTTAGTCTCAGTCAAGATGAGGTGATGAGATGAGTCAACAAGGCATGTTAATAAAAATTACTTCAATGTCCAAATTGGACTATGGCCTAATCCTGGCTTAGTCTAAGCCCTGTCTGTGAAACCTGCAGGCCACATTGTCCTAAAATGTTACTTTGACAAGCCAAAAATATAAATGGATGCCTTCTACTCCTCCCATGTGTTTCTGCTTTTCACAGTCAGGCAGAAATTAGGAGTGGTTCCAAAAATGCATCACGTCAGGCGAACGTAAACTTCAACTTACCCACTGGCTTAATTTACCCCGTGCTTCCCCTACTGTAAAATATTATTTTAGTTTAAAATAATGTCAGTATTTATATTCTTATAGTCCGTTTAGCCGGAGATGAAACTGAAAAGTGCCAAGTAACAAATAATAATGAATAAAATAAAGTACTGAATTGTGTTCTTTTTGGTTTTTCATCACTGTAACGCAATAACCGTTTGTTAAAATGTAACGTTAAAGCTTTATCTCACACGTTGCTTCCTCGTTTGAAATCGATAATATTAAGATTAAATTGTTTGCTTCTGCTTTCTAAATGTATCATATTTGCATTATAAAATATTTAATACCACATCTATATCGTTTAAGAAGCTTACTTTGGTAGCGTGAAACAATGACAGACTACACTCCAGCAGTCTCCTGCATCTGCAAATAAACCGTGTGTCGACGGTTCTACATGTGCGGCGCCATTTCAGCACCCTTTTTCCAGCTCATGTGATTCTGTAAAGTTAGTAAGTAGCCTATAAAAATATACGATTCTGGCATTCAGGCAAATAAACAACGACATGACTTTAAATGCTATTACTCGGTAGTTCCAAAGAATGTGCTTTTCTTGTGTCACAATTTTTTTTAATGATTTAGGAGTTTTAAATTAGGTTATTAAATATATTTTCTATGTAAAAGTAATAAAGATAATTGTTTAGTCATAGAAATGTGTTTAATAAATTGTTAATTTTTATCTTAATCTTGCAGTTTTGAAAGAAACTTGAGGCACAGAATCAAAAATTGTCATTGTTTTTTTTTATAAGTGCTTTTTAATGCCTAGTTAGTTCATTCTAGTGACTTTAATACTAATCATGGCACAGGAATGTAACAAACAAATACAACAGCAACTGCATGAGTAATGTAAACAGTTGACATTAAATTAGTAATTATTGAAAGGAGCTGAAGTTTATAGCATTTTTATTGTACATAACTATATTTTTCTAATGAATGACTTTGCTCCACATTGTACAACTAACAATCACTCAGCCGAGTGTAATTCTTATATAGTGTTGCAGCAATAAAATTGAATGCATTATACTGATGTACATTTTGCACAAGTGGTTGGTTGTTGTAGCAGAAGCACAACTGTAGGCCAAAGTTGGGCCCTCCAGCATCATCCACTGTTAACTTTGATGCATAGAGAACTATTGTGATATATGCGGGCTATTATTGTACAGCTAAAATAACTGGAAGCGGATCACACTTATCACCACACAATCAATTTATAAATCACGCCCACTTTTATGTTAAAATTAAGGTGGGTAGCAGATCTTCATTTGTTATTTTATGTTTAGCAAATTTTGATTATATTTCCACTGAGTTTACATTATTGCCAAAACAAATGTACAAAATAGTCAAACTTTATTAGTCCTTTTACAGAGCTTAAAGTCACAGGAGCCCCAAAAAAATTATTTAGGGTTGCCCTCAACAGGACGTATATCATCAAAATAGTCATCTGCAAAGCGAAGCATCTGCTGTAGAGCGGTGAGCAGCAGGACGTCACAGTTGAGCTCCAGCTCCAGCTCCTGACTGTAGTTCTTCACCGGTAACACACAAGACACCGGCACACCCAACCGAGAGCTCACCTCCTGCACCTGCAGACACAAAACAACACCTCACTCACTCCGAGTCCTGTAGCAACAGACCATCTGATCATGTGACCGCGTCTCACCTTCGACTTGATGTAGGAACTGACATAAAGACTTTGAAGATTTTCCTCCACTCGAGGACATGCTTCATCTACTTTTGTCATCAAGACGATCTGAGCGATGCCTGAAATTGTTGAGGTACGTTTTAAGGTGCGTCACATGTAGCTCTATGTACAACCTACTTTGTATTAGTCACAAGATTGGTGTAACTATGTTCACTCACCCAGTGAGTTCACTTTTCTGCGTATGGAAGCAAGTTTTTCCTGTAGTTTGTCAGACATGAGGGAGATTTTGGTGGCGTCTATCACATACACCACACAGTGGATCTTCTCCTGAAGAGATGCAGGTCTGGAGGCCTTTTGCTCATCAGGTTGAAACGGTGCCATGGGGTTGAACTGGATTGAGAATAATTTAAATTAAAAATAAATGTTATTGATAAATATACATTTGCAAGCCAAAAACATGAACCTATGCACTTACTTTATAGCGGTCTGGTACGTGACCTTGAAGAATGCTGCTGATGTCCTCAATATCCAGTCCTGCACCTGATTGCTCCTCGAGTCCCATGGTGTCACACAACACAAATGGCAACGGCTTTCCCTCACGACCGTCATTCATTGGATATGTGCGAAACTACCAACCAAGAAGATTCTTTGTGGAACAATTGTTTTATATTACAAACTGAAGCAAGTCCTGAAGTTCTGCCTAATCTGTACCTGCACAGTTAGGCTAGTGCCTGCAGATCCTGACATGGCTTTACTAGTCACATGACCAGTGAAGATAGAGTTGATGGAGTTGAAGAAACTGGATTTTCCAGCACCTACAGGACCGATCATTAGGATTCTGACCCGATTCACAGACGTCATCAGGGGTTTATGGTTCCTGATCATTTCCATGAGCTCTGCTCTTCGTCTACAACACAGATCAGTTTTATTATTTCAGATTAGCACAGGGACTTAGCAAAAGAGAGATAAACTAGAAACATACTCCGGTGTACATAGAACATTCCTCCATGGTTTCTCCTCAACGCTGACTTCAGGCTCTGGGAATTGTCAAATAAAGACAGAACATTTTAATGACACTAAATAAGTTAATTATTTTAAAGAAACTTTTTTTTGTGTAAAATACATGAAGAGGTAATGAAGCTGAGGATTGACTTACCCTGTTCCACTTTATACACCTCACATTCACTCAGCTGAGTGTCATTGCCATACATTGATGAGGTATTAATGTTGAATGCATTCCCTCGTTGATAATTCACAGCTGGCTGGTTGTTGTAGCAAAAGTACAGCTGCTGTCCAAAGTTGGGCCATTTATCATCATCATAACGTGCGTTATATCCACTGTTAACTTTGATGTAGCTTGAGGTTCCACTTGTAAAACTGAACAGGAAAGCTTCCTCATCTGTAATTTCCCGGCCACTTCGAGCATAATCTACACTAGTGTATCCACCAAAGATGTAGCCTGAATTGTTGTAGGCTACAAGTAAAGTGGGACCCTGACGGTCACATTGCTGGTGGAAGACAGAAGCTTGATATCCATGAACTGAAGCTTTGTAGAGAAGAGCCAGTTCCACATTCCCCAGTAAGCCACAGAGCTGTTCTCTTCGTTCTTCAGGTAAATTAGAAGTGAGGGTATCTGTGCTGACTTTTCTAACTTTGGCTTTTTGCATCTGTGCCAAAAGAAAAAGAAAATAATAATAATGTAGCAAGTCTGAAAAGTGTATTATGTTCTGTTCAGGTGTGATTTAAGTGCATGCATGTTCTGTTCCTGTGTTCTTTTTGAATGGGGCCTTTTAAGAGGTGGAAGTTCTTCTGAAGAACGAGACAAAATCTGAAGGAAAAAGTATAGTCTGGAAAGAAGCCATGAGAGAATGGCAATGTCACTGAGATAGGGAAGCTAAAGGAAGACATTTATATACCATTCAAAATAAAGTTGTTTCTGTGAAGAATTGGGGAGGAACTAGGAGAGAAGAAATAGCGATGACGAGATTAAGAATAGGACATAGTAATCTGAACCGTACGTTATATATATCATAGGGAAGCATCCTACTGGTTTTTGCGAGTACTGCCAGGTATTAGAAACCATAGTACTTTTATGTTGCAGAAGATATGGAGAGCAAAGGAGAAATATGATAGAATAATTAAGAAGAGGTGGGTTGTCAGGGACAAGTATAAGAGATATACTGCAATGTGGTACGAATGGGCAAGGCAGAAGTATTTGTAATTTCTTAATTAGAACGGGCCTGATGAGGAGAATATGACAGAAAGATAAAATGGAAGAAATAATCTGGAATAACAGTGTATAAATAAATACAGAATAAAGTTTCTGTTCTTCATTTCCTGAAACACTTGATCACCTTTTCTTTTACTGTGAGGCTTCTTCTAAATTTTGGTTCGATATACATAGCTGGTTGTCAGTAAAAATGGAGACAATTCCTCTTATAACCCAACAAGATGTCCTCTTTTTTAAGTGTTTTGTTGATGGGTAAATATCATATCCATACTTGTAAATGGAAAAAAAGTAAACCCTCCTTCAATATATTTTTATTTGAGTTTGCTAAAATGTTTCAAAGCTTCAAAAAACATAATAAAAAATCTGAAAAGTTATGCTTCTCTTTGTCAAATTATTTATTACTTTAGTATATTTTTCTTTATCATGTCTACATCGACTACATCTTTGTTTTCATCCTTGCTCCTTGTGTTTGTTTATTTATATATATATATTTTTTTTTTTCTCTTCTTCTTCTTTAATGTAAACTCTGTGTTTGTCTCAATGGAAGTGTCTTGCATTGTTGGTTGTTCCCCGTCTTATGTACATTAAGCAATAAAAAAAAGAAGAAAAACAAAACAGTGTAGGAGAGTAATCCGGAAGGTGGCGGTAATGCAACGGATGCAAGCCGCCGTTAAACCCTAAAGAAGAAGAAGAAAAAGAAGAAGAATCCCGCTTAAGAGGGCTGAGGGAGGACGGAGGAGCTGAAGGCTGCAATAAATAAAGTTGAAGAGTGGGCACTGAAATGGGGTTTTCGAATATCAGTAGCCAAAACACAAATCATTTGTTTTACAAAAAAGAGAAATATTAATATTAATTTGTCATTATATGGACAGCTTCTGGAACAGGTATCAGTGGTAAAATTTCTTGGAGTGTGGTTGGACTCAAGATTGACTTTTAATACACATGTAGAAAAACTGCTGACTAAGTGCAAAAAGGCGCTGAATGTTATGCGATGTCTAGCAGGTAGTGATTGGGGTGCAAGTAGAAGTTCTCTCAGGAATATTTATATGGCTATCATCCGATCAGCAATAGATTATGGTAGTATGGTTTATGGGTCGGCGAGTAAGTCTCTACTAAAAAAAGTAGATGCAGTACAGACGCAGGCTTTGAGAATATGTTGTGGGGCATTTAAAACTTCCCCTAGAGCTTCCATGCAAGTTGAAATGGGAGAAATGCCGTTGGAAATAAGACGTAAACAACTGAAAATGGTATATTGGGCATCTTTGATGGGGCACAACAATGAACACCCTACTAAAGCAATATTTTTTAAAAAGTTGGGAATATGGAAAAAGTAATTAAGAATATTGGACAAGAAATGGAGGAAATAGCGGAATTGATAGATGTAAAAAATATATAATTCAGTAATACAGTACACATGTCAGCAGTTCCACCGTGGATGTTTGTAAGAGGAATTTCCAGAAGTTTTTCAGCTTTTGTCGGGGCAGAAGCATTTTAGACGAGCGCTCACGATAATAAAAGAAAGCCTAAAACCGTCAAGAGAGTCTTAGCACGTATTTTGATCGTTACAATAATTTGATAATATGGATTTTTTAACTTAAATTTTAAAATATATATTCAGTCCTTAAAAACAGCATTAAACACCACAAACATTACATTCTTAACGCATCCTATTTAGATTTGACTAGCTGAGCACTAATTCGAGAGGCTGCAGCCTTCAACCAGCCTGTAACGTTATACGAATCGTCACATTTGTCATTGCGGATAAACACTGAAAATAAACCGTGAACACTGAATAAACACTAAAAAGCTCATTTATTTAAATTAAAATACAATGTTCGATTCATTGCTATTCAATAACATTTTGCTGGAAGATAAACACTGGAAAAATAACTTATTTTTAAACCTTAAGTAAATAAATTACTGCGTGCATACTGCATACTCAAAGAGTTACTGCTAATTGAAAACTAGCTTCGTCACTTACGTTTTGTAGAACAAGACACCTCGCAACGCGTCCGTTTCTTTTGGTCTTTAGATCCAAGACAAAGTCGTGGGAAGGTCATACAGTTATAATACAGCTCAATAAAAGCATTTATCTCGTGGAGATTTTTTTTCTACAACAGTGACGTTGACTCTAAACTAGTGTTGATTCGTTCATTTTGAACGATTCTTTAATGTGACTCGGGAAGAACGAGTCGTCTCGGGGAGTGAGTCGTTCAGTCGCGCATGCGCAACATCCTCTAGGTTCTGTACTGGAATTAGTCGAGTAGTTCGGGTCGAGTAGTTCGAGTCTTCGGGTTTTCCGAGTCGTTCGTTCATCACGTGACAGCCCCATAAGCCCAAACCCGAAGACTTGTCAGATAAGAGGTGAGGTGAGCTAATCATAGACTGAAGATCTAGGTAAACAATGCAGTGTTTCCCCTGCCATTATTTTAGAGGGGCGGCCGCCCCCCTTGAAGGTCAAGTTAATTTTAATTATATTTTCTCTATAGCGCCAGATCACAACATAAGTCATTTAAAGTTACCTTTCTTATAGAACATGTCTATACCTTGTTCTTTCATTATGCAAACTAAATAGCCTTATGTTATTTATTTTATTTACACGACGGCATGTCATTTCAGTCTCTACGTTATGGTCGCGCTCTCTGTATCACGCACAGTGGAGTTCCACCCGATGCACGCACACACACACAAGTGAGCCCACTCCTACTAGTATTTGTAAATATTAAGCCGCAAAACGATTCATATTTAAATATGAATTCTGCGTGTCTCTGTGTTAATGAATAGCGCAGACGCGCGGTTTTGTGTAGCACTCGTACTGAAACGCTCCGGACGCTTGCGGTGATATTAACCTCTGCCGTCTCACTAATGAGGACATAAATACATGAACAACGTCTCAAGAACTGCTCTGAGAGTCACTTCATCAGCATTTGACCGTTTCATTTGACTAAAACTATCCTCAGATCATACACACACAGAAATCTAAAAGGTATTCACGGCAACCCGTCAAAATAAACGTTTGGTTTAACTTGAGGGCATTGGCTATTACTCACATATTACTAATGTACGTAACAGACTGCTACTACTACTACTAAAATTATTAAAACCTTATTTTTAAGGAGTAAGCATTCAGTATTTCTTCAATGTTTTAATTGTAATATTAAATTACCTTTATTTTCCAAAACATTTAATTTGTTTAATTTTCATTACTTAAAAGATAGATTAAATGAATGTTTTATGCCTTAAAACAAAATGTAAATACACAACACAGAATTTCTGAGCAAAAAAATCATACGGCTATTGTAAGAATAAATGAAACTTGTTTTATGCTTTCAAATTAGACATGCTAAAACAGAATTTGGTTACAATAAAACATAAGGTTGGACAAATAAAAACATTTCATAGGGCCCTAAACGTAATATTTGTTAAACTTTTAATAATTTTTGATGTTAAATTGTTTAAGTTTCATGATTTTCATGTCTTGGATGAATTAATTAGACATGCTTTTTGATTAATAAAATGTAATTTAACCCAGAAAGTCCAGAAAAAAAAAAAAAAAAGGAATCTACCCGGGGAACAGTTGGGGGTTCGGTGCCTTGCTCAAGGGCACCTCAGTCGTGGTATTGAAGCTAAACCAGTGGTTCCCAACCCTGGTCCTGGAGGCACCCCAACACTGCACGTTTTGCATGTCTCTTTAATCAAACACGCCTGATTCAGGTCATCAGCTCATTAGTAGAGACTCCAAGACCTGAAATTGGTGTGTCAGAGAAAGGAGACATGCAAAATGTGCAGTGTTGGGGTGCCTCCAGGACCAGGGTTGGGAACCACTGCTCTAAACCACAAAGGATTTAAAGGTGCAGTAATACAAAAAGAAAGTAATAGTAGGGGAGACCTGGGATGCTTAAACACTTTATTTTTTAATTTATTAACCAATATTTTTCTGTAATTTAACAATTATATTTAAGAAAAAGGTCTAAATTAAATTTCAGTGAGTCCTGTTAGTAGGAGCAAGAAAAATACTACAACAGAGCACCATTCATCATTGATTAAGAGTAAATGATTTTGTGTCTCTCTCTTTGATGGTTCCACAAGGCTTCACTCACTCTCAGACTTCTGGAGGGGATGTAGACTCAAGAGTGAGTGGAAGTAGGAAGGTGCTGAGCCTGTGGCTGTTCTATATGCAAGCATCGATGTCTTGAACTTGATGCGAGCCGCAACCGGTAGCCACTGCAGGCAGATAAAGAGAGGTGTGATGTGGGCCCTTTTAGGCTCTTTGAAGACCAGGCGTGCTGCTGCATTCTGAATCATTTGTAGAGGTTTGATTGTGCAAGATGGAAATCCAGCCAGAAGAGCATTGCAGTAGTCCAGCCTAGAAATGACAAGGGCCTGGACAAGAAATTGTGCAGCATGCTCCATTAGGAAGGACCTGATCTTTCTGATGCTGTACAAAGCAAACCTGCATGAACGAGCGGTTTTTGCAATGTGGTCTTTGAAGGTAAGCTGATCATCAATGATTACTTCAATATTTCTGACCAAACATGATGGGGTAATTGTTGATGAACCTAGCTGGATGGTGAAATCACCAATTAGAGTAGGAGTAGCAGGGAAAACGAGAAGCTCAGTCTTCGCCAGGTTGAGCTGTAGGTGATTCTGGTTGAAATGAAAGATAGAGCTGTGTGTCATTAGCATGTTATGAGAAACCATGTGCTTGTATGATGGGTCCCAGTGATGTAGTGCATATGGAGAAGAGGAGGGGTCCAACAACTGATCCCTGAGGAACCCCTGTGACCAGTTGATGTGATTTGGATACCTCCCCTCCCCAGGCAACCTTGAAAGACCTACCTGGTAAGATTCAAACCAGTGAAGTGGAGTTCCTGTGATGCCCAGTATGAGAGGGTGGACAGAAGGATCTGATGATTCACAGTATCAAAGCGCTTTGCCTAACTGAGATGAAGTCATGGAATTTTTCGATTACATCGGTAACATACTGAAAACTTTTTCGTTTTAAATACTCTTTAAAAAGATTTAGAATGTTTAGATTTAGGTCTAAAATTTAGTTCATGTTTAACGTGCTAATATTTAAACATATAGCTATTTTCTTAACAACAATTTAAAGCTTGTGCGCGTCAAATTTATTTAGTTTCTTGTTTGTAAACTGTGGTCACTGTCCAATCCCGCTCTTATCTGGTCTCTGGAGTTGTAAGGAAAGGGCAGAGTCATTTTGTTTTATAGGAGGAGCTTGACATATTTTTGCTGGTGTATGAATTCCGATCTTGTACGAAGAGCATTTCAGTATTTTATGCACAAATACAGCTAAAAGAAGCTTCATAGCCTACTTGATAGGCTATCATAAAGGTAAATATTCAGTGTTAATGCTCTAGATTTTAATCAGAATCAAAAGAGCTTTATTACCAAGTATGTTTACAAACACAAGGAATTTGACTTGACGACAGGAGCTACCAGTGCAGAAAAAAGTACAGACATAGTGCAGACATAGTCTACATGGTAGTGCAGACATGCATAGTAATAACACAGTAGGGATGGAATATAACACTAATATAAGAAAAAATACAGAAATTAAATAATGTACTATATACAGAAATAGATGAACATGAAAAAATTTAATTGTTTAAATAAATGTAAAGATATGTTATGTTTTGTTTTGTTATATGATATGTTTTCATTAACTGTTCCCTCCTGGTGGAATGACCTGCCCAAATCAATCCGAGCAGCTGAGTCCTTAACCATCTTCAAGAAACAACTAAAAACACATCTGTTCCACCTTTATTTGACCCTCTAACTCTAACACTTTCTATTCTATTTTAATTCTACTTTATCTATATTTATCTTTAAAAAAAAAAATTATTCTTTATTTAAAAAAAAACAACAAACAAAAACTAGCTTTCTATTTTTTCTATTCTATCTACTTATTTTTCTTTGTGTGTGTGTGTGTGTGTGTGTGTGTGTGTGTGTTTGTGTGTGTGTGTGTGTGTGTGTGTGTG